CTGTAGGCCACTTGTTCACAATGTCCACTGCAGGCCACTTGTTCACAATGTCCACTGCAGACCACTTGTTCACAATGTCCACTGTAGGCCACTTGTTCACAATGTCCACTGTAGACCACTTGTTCACAATGCCCACTGTAGGCCACTTGTTCACAATGTCCACTGCAGGCCACTTGTTCACAATGTCCACTGTAGGCCACTTGTTCACAATGTCCACTGTAGACCACTTGTTCACAATGTCCACTGTAGGCCACTTGTTCACAATGTCCACTGTAGGCCACTTGTTCACAATGTCCACTGTAGGCCACTTGTTCACAATGTCCACTGCAGGCCACTTTTGTTCACAATGTCCACTGTAGGCCACTTGTTCACAATGTCCACTATAATGAACTCATTACCCAATCCCAAGTGTTTTCTTTGCACACTATTTTAATATTATAAAAGGGGCGCCCAAGTTAAGCTTGTCCGGGGCGCCAGCACCCGTAGGGCTGGCCCTGATTGTGAGTGTGTGTTTGTTTATGTTCAGATGTGTGCGTTTATTAGCGTATGTGTGTGTTTTGGGGATGAAGGATGTATTAAGAATCAAAATGTGATTTTAACTGTACACAAAATGTGCCCCCCCCTCTACCCCCCCCCCCGTCCTTCAGTTTTTATTTTTAATGACCACGGGGTAGTAACTGAAATCGATATCAAGCAAACACCGCACAACTCAATATGTTTGAACACTTGGGGGTCTACCAGAGTATGTGGGCCTTAGTGACGTACATGGGTTCTAACGTTGATCAGGCTTAACCACACTTGACAGAGTATGTGGGCCTTAGTGACGTACATGGGTTCTAACGTTGATCAGGCTTAACCACACTTGACAGAGTATGTGGGCCTTAGTGACGTACATGGGTTCTAACGTTGATCAGGCTTAACCACACTTGACAGAGTATGTGGGCCTTAGTGACGTACATGGGTTCTAACGTTGATCAGGCTTAACCACACTTGACAGAGTATGTTGGCCTTAGTGACGTACATGGGTTCTAACGTTGATCAGGCTTAACCACACTTGACAGAGTATGTGGGCCTTAGTGACGTAAAGAGCATCTGGCATTGGTCAAGCTGTACCTCACATGATATAGAGTATGTGCTTTTCAGTGAAGTACAGAGGTTCTCACGTTGATCAGGCTTAGCCTCACACGAGCTTTCACTATCAATAAATTTGCTTATGCCATCACCATCGTTGGCTTAATATTTGAAACGGGATATTTTATATGGCAACTTCGTTACAAGTGTTACCCGCTATTGTGACACAAATTTTCTTCAGATGAATGTCTCAAACCAAAGAAATGGTTGTCAATTTTGGGAGGGGACAGACCAAATGGCAGAGCTTACATTACAAAAATCACAGTATAGAAGTAGAGAGATTTTACATTTAGAAAGTTGACCAAAACTTTTTTGCTTTGTTTCAAAATTCAACAATTTCGTTCTTAACAAACAAATTTATACTTTTACTACGGTGCAACAAGTGGAAGCCAGCAAAACTTCAATATTAACTGGTAGTGAGGGAATTCAATGTTTCTCATCAAACACTGATTCAATAGACATTTCACGGCAGCATGTTTTAGCAACATCGCTCAAACAAAACTAACTTCGCTCGAAGAGCTTTTTGAAGAAATCTGTAAAACTAACACAATTGGAGGATGCATCATCCTCTTCATCATCAATACCTAAGATCAGCTCGGGCAAGGCGAATTATTTCCCTCCAAGTAAGGAAGTTCCACGGCAAATGACGGCAGATTTTTGTTCCTGAGAAGCTATTTGGATGTATTTTGTCAATTTTTCTAGTTTTAAAATGATTTTCTCTGTAAGAATAATTATGCGTGTACTGAAAATGTGTGTTTACATTTTAATATAAAAAAAACCCATTCCATATATTTCGGTCAACACGAAAATCATATCTTATCTTATCACTTATCTTATATTATCTTGTTTCAATCGGGTGTCTGTGTACACATATCGAAACTCTCGTAACGAAAACGGTTTGAACATTTGATTACATAAGAGAAAATCTGAGATGGTACAGCCTAGTCTGTTGCATTACCTTGTCTGAGATGGCACAGCGTATTCTGATGCATTACCTTGTCTGAGATGGTACAGCCTAGTCTGATGCATTACCTTGTCTGAGATGGTACAGCCTAGTCTGATGCATTACCTTGTCTGAGATGGTACAGCTAGTCTGATGCATTACCTTGTCTGAGATGGTACAGCCTAGTCTGATGCATTACATTGTCTGAGATGGTACAGCCTAGTCTGATGCATAAACTTGTCTGAGATGGTACAGCCTAGTCTGATGCATTACCTTCTCTGAGATGGTACAGCCCAGTCTGATGCATTGCCTTGTCTGAGATGGTACAGCCTAGTCTGATGCATAACTTGTCTGAGATGGTATAGCCTAGTCTGATGCATTACCTTTTCTGAGATGGTACAGCCTAATCTGATGCATTACATTGTCTGAGATGGTACAGCCTAATCTGATGCATTACCTTGTCTGAGATGGTACAGCCTAGTCTGCATTGCCTTGTCTGAGGTGGTACAGCCTAGTCTGATGCACTATCTTGTCTGAGATGGTACAGCCTAGTCTGATGCATTACGAACAGACTCTACCAACAGCCTAGTCTGATGCATTACCTTGTCTGAGATGGTACAGCCTAGTCTGATGCATTACCTTGTCTGAGATGGTACAGCCTAGTCTGATGCATTACCTTGTCTGAGATGGTACAGCCTAGTCTGATGCATTACCTTGTCTGAGATGGTAAAGCCTAGTCTGATGCATTACCTTGTCTGAGATTGTACAGCCTAGTCTGATGCATTACCTTGTCTGAGATGGTACAGCCTAGTCTGATGCATTACCTTGTCTGAGATGGTACAGCCTAGTGTGATGCATCACCTTGTCTGAGATGGTACCTTGTCTGACACACTAACGTTTCTGACACACTACCTTGTCTGACACACTACCTTTTCTGATACGCTACCTTGCCAGAAACATTACCTTGTCTGACACGCTACTTTGCAAGAAACATTACCTTGTCTGACACGCTACTTTGCCAGAAACATTACCTTGTCTGACACGCTACTTTGCCAGAAACATTGCCTTGTCTGACACGCTACTTTGCCAGAAACATTACCTTGTCTGACACGCTACTTTGCCAGAAACATTGCCTTGTCTGACACGCTACTTTGCCAGAAACATTGCCTTGTCTGACACGCTACTTTGCCAGAAACATTGCCTTGTCTGACACGCTACTTTGCCAGAAACATTACCTTGTCTGACACGCTACTTTGCCAGAAACATTGCCTTGTCTGACACGCTACTTTGCCAGAAACATTGCCTTGTCTGACACGCTACTTTGCCAGAAACATTGCCTTGTCTGAAATACTTCATTGCCAGAAACATTGCCTTGTCTGACGCACTACACGGTTTATAAATTGACATCTATATGATCTGTCCATTGGCCCCTCCATGATTTATCCATAATGGCCCCTACACTATTGATTCATTGGCTCCAACATGATTTATCCATCGGCCCCTACATGATTTATCCATTGGCCCCCACATAATGTATCCATTGACACTTACACGAATTAGCCATTAACCTATATGATGCATGATTTAGCCCCATTCCAGTGGTTCTCAACCTTTGGTATGCATGCCTCTGGAAAGACTGTTGGGAGACCCAAATGTTAAATTGAACAAGGTTGAAAACGGCAAAAAAAAAAAAAGTTTTTTTTTTTGTGTGCTCCCGTTCATTGACGAGAAGCTAAATTTTAATATTTTGTGTTGTATTAATAACTAATATTATCCACACATTTTGTTTCCGAATAACAATAATTATGAGAAATATCGCACGGCGATGTTTGTTTTTGTGTTTCGTTTTAAACAGGTTACAGAACGCCAAAACAAAAACACTTTTAAGCCGATGTCAAAAGAGCATTCTCATCATATACATATAGTATGCTTGTCACAGCTCCTGATCTGAGGATATATAGTCTATCTTCATTTGAATCCGTTTTAAACAAAATTTTTAATGGGCACCAAAATATGATAATATATATTTTTTTTTCCAATACCTGTTTTTTTTATATCAAGGTAGATTTTTGTGAGTTTCGCCGGCGCTCCATTTTTATTCGTTCCGGCCTATGTTTTTGTGAGGAAATGATAATAATATACATGTTTATCGTTTCTGAGATTGCAACTTGAGCTAAGTTTAACGAAATTAATCATTGCAATATTAATAATAATATGAATCACGAAAAGTGCATATCTGCGGCTTTTTGAATTACCGATTCTAAAATACGGAAATAGTGTGTGTGTGTGGGGGCGGTGGTGGGGGGTGGGTAGCTTCATCTTGATACAAAATAGCTGGTCATTTCTCCGTGACATAGCGAGGAAATTGTTACAAAATAACATAGAAATTATGAAGCTTTCATTGGGTACCAACACATATTTTTATGACATGGCTTGTGTGCTAGATTTATGCTTATATTAAAACCTAAAGTAGACAATCACGTATGCTGCATAAAGCATTTTTAAGTTTCCCACATTCTAAAAATACGGAAACAGGTGGATAGGAACAATCCATTGGCGATTTATACCTTGGCTCCTGTACGAGTTATACATGGCTCCCATACGATTGATACCGTAGTCTCCTTGACTCCTTCCTATATGCTTTATCCCAAAACATATGAAGCTTTTAGTGAGCACATTCGGGGTTTAGCTCTAAGGATCTTCTTTATGAGAAATGATTCTCTACCAGTTATTGAACGAATCAATTCATGTGGGAGGTGTGAAATATACGGCAACACTGACTGGGCCACGTACTCAATTGTAAAGCACCCGTTGAAAATAAGCTACCAAACAAAACACAACACACTTACACAAAAAAACAACCCAACAACAACAAGGACCACCACCTTAAACAAACAAATGAAAGCAACCGAAGACGTTGGCATCAGTGTAGATATACCTCACTCACGTTTATTACTTTTATACCATAGCCATGACTAAAAAATAGATCAATAAATAATGCACAACACGTAGTTAGCTTTTCTATCATAAAAAACTGGTAAGAAAATAAGAAAATATGATCAAGTTTCAATCAGCTCAGTAATACAAAGAGAGATGAGCGAGGATGAGCCAGCCCTGATCCAAGTAACAGTAGGTATTCATATTACATTTGGCTCACTTGTGGATCACAGGGTGGCGGATTTGGGTATAAAATTGACATCATAATAACATGTTTTAATGACATGTGCCAATCGCATGATGACATGTGTCAATGACACGTGTCGATCACATGATACGTTTTTTTTTTAAAACGACACTTGTCTATAAATATAATGCATGTTTTAATGGCATACGTCTATGGTATAATGACAAATTTTAATGACATGTATCTATCATATGATGATATGTTTCAATGACATGAGTCTATCATATGACATGTTTTAATGGCACGCATCCATCGCTTGATAACACCTTCTAATGAAATGTGTCGATCGAATGGGTGACGTGAGAAGAAAGACATCAGGATTAATTTCACTTGGACTTCAACATAAAGGGTTCAATATTATCATCAAAATATCCATCAATTTCAGATACTAGTTCTCGAAATGCAATAGCACATAATCCAATCAAAGAAAGGAAATGATTTGACCAACAACACCACCAACAACACCACCAACAACAACACCAACAAGGACAATCCAACACTAAACAAAGTATGGTGCCAAGAGTCATGGTTTAACAACAACAACACATGGTCGACAGCACATTTAGAACAAGAGGGTGTTCTAGAATGACAGAGTCATAAAAAAGCCGACACATAACGTGGAGGAAATAGTGGAAGCTATTCACGTAACACTAAGACCATGTTAATGTGACGTGTGCGTGTTTTACGTTTAATCAGCTTTGGCGACTCATAACAGACTGTCATAAAAAAAAGGGAAAGACAGTTACTAGTGAGAAAATAGAACAGAGATCTTGTTTTTAAACGGGTTGCCAAGAGCATCCCGAGAGAACGCTGTAAAGACGTGACAAGAGCATCGCAAGAGAGCAATGATAAGATATTGCAAGAGCATCCCGAGAGAACGCTGCACGGACAATGCAAGAGCACCTCAAAAGAGCTATGTAAAGACGTTACAAGAACGCTGCAACGCCAAGAAATTGATGCAGTGCTTTGATGTTTAGTTACTTCTTGTTTAATTTATGCATGTGCGTATTTCAATCAAGCTCTAGAAGGGTGGGTTAAGCTTCACTAGCTGATTATGGGGGAAGGGGGGCAGTCTGCTATTATTATTATTTTTATGTAAGTCAAGATCACCACCAGAAACATATTCATGAATGTGTAATGTTTGTTGTGAACTTTGCGCTCCTCGTAGAGATTAGCATTTGAAGATGCTGGAGTCAACTGCAGCGCAACCACGGCTTGGGTGAACAATTGGTAACAAAAGAAAGTAACAATTTTACCAATTAATGGAAAACCCTTGAACCCAATTACATGTATTATTTATTTCCTGGAACTTTGACAAGTTGCCCACTAGCAAATAGAGTTTATTTAGGAATATTAAGCATGTTTTATTTACAGATGCCAAGAGAGGACCTTTAAGGTGATACTTTTTGAAATGGAACAGAAAAGGATGCTAATTTAAATATAACAAAAGCAGGATGCTAATTTCAATGCAACAAAACAAGATGCTTGTTGAAATGTAGCGAAATAATTCAATTGGTACGGGGGAAACTAATTCAGGTTTCAATATATTTACAAGACTTGTAATTGAAATGCGGGCTGAAGCTGCTCTAAACTTGCAAAATTGTAATCGATAAAATGCTTTAAAAAAAAATGATACCTCTGTTCACCCAAGTCGACCACTGGGTTCGGGGAATGCGTCACATCTGTGCTGCATTCAAATTTACAAAGGTCAAAGGTAACAAACATGGAAGTCGTTTATCATACACCTTATACATATGACCTCAACGGCTGTTATAGTTTTATTACTCCATTACCCAAGCGGTGTACAGACAAGGTCAAGGTCATGTATTTATTACACAATGATATAAAAGAACTCTTGAATTTTAAAAAAATAAAACCACAATTGGTTTATAGGATATTCAAACAGTAATCACTTTAATTTTTTTTTTTTTTTTTTTTTTACTGGAGTCGAACGGACTCTCCACATCACCACCAGCTAATATTATGAGCATCGAAAATTGGGAAATGTCTACTGTCGTCCACTGGAAGGGGGTGCCACACAATGTCATTGTTTGCGTCGGCTTATACACTCCCAGTTGCAAAGGGGGGCATTCTTAGTTGGCCATCAGGAGATGCTGCAAGCTGTTGGAGTAGTTGACCGGAGCTACGTTGAGGCCGTCGACAAAAGACTTGGGCGCGTCGGGCGAGAACATTCCCATCTGAGACCCTGGATGGGACAAGGAATGTCCATTTGTCATGGAACTGTTGAGGTTTGGAAAGCCTGAAGGGCGTCCGAGGTTGGACAGCGAGTTGGGGCGAGAAATGGGGTTGATGGGCGGGGAGGGGAGTGTGGTGAGGTTTGGGCTGGACTGGATCAGATCCTGGAAAGCGGGGCCATTGCCCTGTGGGGACATGTGTGGGGAAAGGTGTGGCGACAAATGTGGGGAGGAGTGGGTCGAGGAAAGACCGGACGAATGCTGGCGAAGGAACTCTGGGTAGGGGCCAGTTGGCGATAGCTGCTGGTTGTTTGGATGCTGCTGTAGGTGAAATGGTGGGCCGTACGGCATGGATGGTGACATTTGCTGTTGCTGTTGTTGTTGTTGCAAGATCATTCTCTGCTGCTGATCCAAAAGGAATTCCACCCTCGGATCACGTGGAGACAGAGATCTTGGACGCTGTGGACCGGAGTAGCTTCTCTGCTGTTGCCGGAAATAGTTTCCGAATTCGGTAGGAGACAGCCGGTTGGGGCGCTTCAGCTGGGTCTTGAGCTTGGTTGATCCGAATTTGGTCTGTGCAAACATGGCGGCAGTGAACTGCTGGCGGCTGGTCGGGCTGGGGCGCGGTCCAAGTAGTGTGGGTGGCGCCATGGACGGGGGCGCCATGGATGGGCCTGGCAGCGCGGAGCTGAAGAGATTGGACGACGGGGAGGTGACCGTGCTCCAGGTACCAGGGGGGACAGGGGAGGATGGGGAGAGGCTGAGGTTGGAAAGCGAGGAGGAGAGGGAGTCGATGGGCTGGAAGGACTGGGACGAGTCGGAGCAAAACGCGGTCACGTCAGGGGTGAACGCGAGAATGTCGGGGGTGAACGTGTGCGCCTCTGGGGTGAAGGTCTGCGCCTCTGGGTTGAAGGTCCTGCTGGCAGCCTGCACCTCCCTGTCGGCGTTGTCGTTGCCGTCCTCGTCCTTACGGTCAGAGTACAGCACCTTGACCGGGCCCTTCTCGCCAATTTTGTAGCTGACCTCTGAGGGGTCAATCCACAAGGTCAGATCCTCGGGGAGGTAATTCTTGACTTCTATGATGTCAAGACCCGCCTTTATGGCAGCCGCCACCAGAACGGGGTCCACCTCGTCTCCGTTGCCCTTGACGCACCGATAACCCGAGCCTTTGGAGGGCTTCTCGGGGTACCAGTGACCTTGAAACTTTTCTTTTAGCCCGACCTCGAGCTCCTCGCCGAAGAGATCGACCCTCCGTCTGGGCAGTTTGTTGTACAGATAAGAAATGACGAAATTGAGTGCCACAGAAATTTCCACGTGCATTTTTAGTGTCCGGTGATAGTTGAATTCGTCCTTAAGATCTCAATAGAGAAAAGAAGAAGAAGAGAGAAAAAAAAAGGACCGATATGATAATCTTCTATTACACCAGAGAGGTTATAATCCACGCAAATCCGGGATTTTGGATCACGTGATTTCGAGTGCTCTAAATGTAGCAGCAGCAGCAAATATTCAAACAGGCTTGATCCTTTAATATACGGAGCAGCTGTCGACTGATACAACAAAGGTTGTGTCCTTTGACGTCAGAGATTTCAACCAATCGATGGGCGAGGTTGTTTTCCTTGAAATAATTGATCGACGTGAATGCCGTTCCTCTGTAATTGAGGTTGTCACACGAGCTGCATGTCTTACGATGGAGTTAAAGGGTTTTATCTGGTTGTACCGCTGTGTCTTAAGAGTCTTACTGCTTGCTTCTGTGGAAGAGAATGAAACAAAGGGAGTGTGTTAAGACAAGGCTACTGACGGTGTGAGTGGTCTTTGCTGAGTCAGTAGTCTATGTTGAGTCAGTGGTCTATGTTGAGTCAGTGGTCTATGTTGATTCAGTGGTATATGTTGAGTCGGTTGTCTATGTTCAGTCAGTGGTCTCTGCTGACTCAGTGGTCTATGTTGAGTCAGTGGTATATGCTGAATCATTGGTCTATGCTGAGCCAGTGGTCTATGTTGAGTCAGTGGTCTATGCTGACTCAGTGGTCTATGTTGAGTCAGTGGTCTATGTTGAGTCAGTGGTCTATGTTGAGTCAGTGGTCTATTTTGAGTCAGTTGTCTATGCTGAATCATTGTTCTATGCTGAGTCAGTGGTCTATGTTGAGTCAGTGGTCTATGCTGACTCAGCGGTCTATGCTGAGTCAGTGGCTTTTGGTGGGTCAGTGGTCTATGTTGAGTCAGTGGTCTATGTTGAGTCAGTGGTCTATGACATAACTCGTTAACACAACTATTCTATATGAAACAAAATTGAAGCAAGGCGCTTACACATTTATAACATTGGCACATTAAACACACAAACACTTTGAACACATGGACACATGAAACACGTAGACACACTTAAACCAGCTTCACAATATGACGGTCTATTTGTTATATAAGAAATAGAAATTAATGTAAGCAATAAAATGAATGTATACAGTGATATGAATGTATACAATGAAATTAATGTACACAATGACAATGCTTGAGTCATAATACTTATGCAATATACGCGCGACCCACGCTGTAAAAATATCGCCAACTATGATGTAGTTCCCAAGGTAACAGTTCGCATGTCTGCTGCATCCACATGAAACCACAAATAGTTGCTTTCAAACTAATAATTTACCCTAGGGCCATGAGTGTAAACACGCTGATAAACGCATAGTGTTATATTAGTATTATGTTGAAAGAGAAAGAAAGAGAACGCCATTTTGTGAATAAAGCAACACAGATGTAGTACCGTAGATAACGTTCTAAATAACAATCCTGTTGTTACAGTTTGCCAGCTCTAATAGCTTTCTTGTGGCCATTTTTTTTCTTTGGTGGGCGATATGCGCTCAACCTGAGATAACGGGGAAAACAGTCTATTTCGAAGACCGAGTGCCAATTTGTACCCACGCAATAACAACACAAAAGTTGGAACACATCTACGCCCGAACTAACAAGGTATCAAATATCTCTTTAGACATGGGTTTTGCATTGAGTCAACTGCTATCTAATGAAACTGATAAAATATGAAAATAGTGAGCGACCTTAATATCTGCTTCTCTAGACCGAACATTTGGCTCTAAGCACTGAATCCAAAGCGAAGACAATTCGTGACCACAGCTAAATGTGTGATCGCGCGCCTGGGGTTAATGTGAACGGGCACATAGAACGGGCACATAGAACGGGCACATAGAACAAATAAATGCAAGTACCATGACAATGAACACAGCACACGGTGTTTCACGTCAGACGATGCGGGTTTCGAATGTGGGTAGGAAGGAGAGGGAGACCCCTGGGCAACACGAGGTTCGGTTTCCACGCTGACTTTATTACCATAATTCACATTGAGGCTTGAGGCGGAAACCACACCATATGCTCGAGCTGGAGACTACGCCATATGCACAACTGTGGGATTAAACAACTTCATGGTGTATTATCTCCCTCTAAAATCGGGGCCAAGGTAGATAAGCAAAGATGACCCAAATTTAAACACTTAATAAATAAAAGCGAACATATGAGCCACAGCTGGTGGGATTATTTCATTTCCCAGTGAACACATCGCGTTGAGTCCGATAATTTGATGTTTACTTTAGATGGCACTTGTATCAAAACTTAAGAAAAATGTATGTCGTTACATGTATAAAAAGATATGTTTCGTACAACACAACATGGACACAGGGAAAGAGCCACGGTCTTCAATCGAAATTATACTCATACAAGTCAGTTTTTGCTTTCTCCACAACACAATATTTCGTAATCGCGTTGAGTTGATTAGATCAGAAATAATTTTATTTCAGTAATTAAGAACACAACAATGCCTATTTGTAAAAGGTTGCTGGCCCCCTACCCATCTACCAACTACGCCCCTGCGTACATTTCCATGAAGTTTTTTCCCAGTTGGTTTGCGTGTGTTTGTGTGAAATGTGATTTCTGTTTGGTTTACCTGTCTTGTTTTTTTTTGTTTTAAACCTGTCTTCATTGTTTGTTTCCTGTCTTGTTTGTGTATTAGTTTGTCTACTTGTTCTTCTTTGTTTGTATACCTGTCTTATTTGTTTATCTTTGCAATGTCACAATGTCGATCCGACTCTGTGTCTGAATAGAGTTCAAGGGATCTCAAAATTTGTGATTATTAGTGGGGGTCCACGATTATAAAGGATCATTATAAAGTGTTATCACTATCATAAAATAAAAAAGGTTTATTTAAAAAAAACAAATACATTTTCTTCACTAACACATATTTAACGACATTACCTTGAGCCTCAAGATGTGATGTGTGTTGTTGAAAACTAAATGAGAACCATTGTTATTTAACTTGAGCAAGCTCAAACATGGTTAAACTCTCAAATAAGGGACGTAAGCCTCTCAGTGAGACGTTACAAGTTCGCTTTGACATTGCAGTGTGTTTGAGCAGTACACGGACAACTCAATGGTTCTCATAATATGGTCATCTCCTATCGTGGTCATCTACTATTGTGGTCATCTCCTATCGTGGTCATCTCCTATTGTAGTCATATACTATCGTGGTCATCTACTATTGTGGTCATCTCCTATTGAGGTCATCTCCTATTGAGGTTATCTACTATTGTGGTCATCTCCTATTGTGGTCATCTACTATTGTGGTCATCTCCTATTGTGGTCATCTCCTATTGAGGTCATCTCCTATTGTGGTCGTCTACTATTATGGTCATCTCCTATTGAGGTTATCTCCTATTCTAGTCATCTCATATTATGGTCACCTCATACTATGGTCATCTCATTAATATGGCCATCTCCTACTTTGGTCATTTCCTACCATGGTCATCTCCTACCATGGTAATTTCCTACCATGGCCATCTTCTACATTTTTCTACAAGACAGCTCTTGTGAAGGAAAAATAAAATCCAATTGATCTAAAAACAAAAATTTCATCTAGATTAGGTATGATGACTATGAAAAGATAAGTGAGTATTTTCTTAGGTATTACAATGAGAATCTTCTCATCTGAGTACCTGTATCTTCTAGCGGTAGGGCCCGAGATGCACATGATTGCAGTTGGTGAACATAAGGAAAAACAATAGACACCCTCATATGATACATTATGGATGTGCCCTTTAAAAATCTTCAAAGCTTTTTTGTTAGTTTTGAGCAGGTGGCTAAGTTAATCATCACAAATCTTCATCTATCAATACACCAATTTATGGAAAGACCCTTATTCGGACAATAAAGCATTTAAGCAAACATTAATCGATCCTATTTATATCAAATGTTTGTTTTCATTTGAAAGGATATATATATTTCCTCATTACATTTCATTGTTCCTTATTATAATTTATGGTCCCTTATTAAAATAAATAAATTGTATACGGTCATCTTAGAGACGTAATAAATCTGCTCTTAAAAAGAGAAAACGAAGCAGAACTTTAACAGCTGGTCCGAATGAATCTGACCCAGATTCCCGTATCATGAAACACTGTATCCGGACAAGACACGAATCGGCGCTAAAAATAGAACAACCTTTAAATTTGTGTCTGACAATGACAACACAAAGTGGGCATCGAGTGACGTTGACAAGAAACATAATATTTATAAAAATTACCCCACCCCCTGAAATGTCATCTCACTTCCACAATCATGTCATTGTCCCATTGTTTATTCTTTGATGAATGAAATATAAATATCAGGTTTGTCAAGTCAGTGATCGGGATAGCAGACTTTTAGTCTGGGGTAAGTGTGTCTGGTCGGGATGGAAGACTTTTAGTCTGGGGTAAGTGTGTCTGGTCGGGATGGAAGACTTTTGGTCTGGGGTAAGTGTGTGTGGTCGGGATGGAAGACTTTTGGTCTGGGGTAAGTTTGTATTCGGGATGGAAGACTTTTGGTCTGGGGTAAGTGTGTGTGGTCGGGATGGAAGACTTTTGGTCTGGGGTAAGTGTGTGGTCGGGATGGAATACTTTTAGTCTGGGGTAAGTTTGTGGTCGGGATGGAAGACTTTTAGTCTGGGGTAAGTAATATCGAATTTGGTAATATTCCGGGTAAACTACGATAGTAAGACAGTGTCTGAGAATGTCTGACAGCTGCAGTGGTGTGGCAATAATTCTAAGTTGTCCACATGGCTCAACTGTAACTTTGCATGCCTCTCATAGAAAAGGTAGATTCTTCGAATGCATTGGTTTGTCTCCTTATAAGGTGAAAACGAACCAGGCGGAACAGACTCGTCAATTCACTGGGCTACCCTTCTTTGGGAGGAAGGAACACCTTACATGTAGCAAAAACTCCACTGGACCATGACGAGAGGCGACCCTTAGTGCACTGGCCAGTGCACAAACTCATCACTGAAGTAGTTAAGCTCTGTCTGGCCACCTTAGCACATTCCACCGTAACTCTCCTGGTGAATTGCTTGTCACATAATATTGTAAATCAAGAACAGTAATTAAAAAAAAAATAAAGTCATCCATGAAGGTTGATCATCCATCTTTATTGACGTCATTCGTTGAATTCAATGACACAATTTTGTTTGTACAAATAGAGTAATAAATTCAATGCTACTTGTTTATACTGCATGCTGATTGCAGGTAGTTAAACGAAGGAAATGACGCAAGCCATGTACTTGTTGAGGTTGATGCTCCTTTACTTGACTGCCACACGTGAGTGCGACCACACGACCATACGCCACACTCGATGTCAGTATCGGGCTGATTTATGATCAAATCGTAAATAACATGGGGGCTCGTTGCACGCTGTTTGCATAAATCATCATAAGCAATACG